TAATGATTACTTTTACTTCTTCTCTAAAAGGCTGGCCTTAGAACAGTTTAACATCATTTGTTGTTTTTCTTTTACATTACCATGTGTATTACAATATATTGCATGAACTACAGATAGTTCACACGTTTTATACTACAAAAACATGACAATTAATATTCTGCACAGTTAATATTTATTCACATTGCTCACATATTATTTTATCCTCTTTATTTCTTCCTGCTGTTTCAACTTTCTCTCTGAGATGATTTTACTTTTGCCTGAAGAACACCCTTTAGTATTTCCTTTAGTGCAGGTTTACTTGTGAGACATTTTCATAGATTTTATAAGTCAGAAAGTATCTTTGTTCTTCCTTTGTTTTTGTAGATTTTATTCTCTGCCTATAGAATTTTAAGTTGGTAGTTATTTTCTTTCAGCATTTTAATGATATTATTTCATTGGATTCTGGTTTTACTGATTTTTTTAGTAAGTCAGCTGTAGTCTTATTACTGATCCTATAAATTCTATTCTATTTCTGAGGGTTTTTTTCCCCTCAGATTGCATTATTTTTTTTTTTACTTTGACTTTTGAAATTTTTAATATGTATTCCTTGGTATGCTTTTCTTTGCATTTACCCTGATGTTCTTGGCAACTCCTTAGTATTGATACTTTAGTCAGCTTTTTCACTGCCGTGACTAAAAGACCTGATAAAGAACAATTTTAGGGGAGAGAAAGTTTTTGTAAGGGTTCACATTTCAGGGGTCTTATTCCATGGACAGCAGGCTCCATTTGGGGTTCAAGGTGAGGCAGAACACCATGGGGGAAGAGTATGGTAGAAGGAAGCAGTTTACATGATGATCAGGAAGCAGAGAGTGAGACTCCACTTGCAAGCTATAAAATATATACCCCAAAGGCATGCTCCCAGAGACCCACCTCCTCTAGCCATACTCTACCCACCTTTAGTTACCACTCAGTTAATCCCTATCAGGAGATTAATTCACTGATTGCATTAAAACTCTCACAACCCAGTCATTTCTCCTCTCAATCTTCTTGCATTGTCTCACACATGAGATTTTGGGGGACACCTCACATCCAAACTATTTATATATTATCTATTTATATTATTTTCAGCTTTGGAAAATCTCCAACCATTTTCTCTTGAAATATTGTTTCTCTCCCTATTCTTTTTCATGTTAGAACTCAGTGTCTATTTTAAGAACTAGTTATTATGACTGAAATGTCCCTCATGTTCTTTTCTGATATTCTACTTTAAAACAAATCTGTCTATAGAAGATAAATATTTTCTGCTTTCCTATTTAACAATTCTCTACTGTATGACCTGTTATTTGGATTCTTAATTTTACTTAGTGCATTTCTTAACTCTATAATTTTCACTGCATACATATTTATAGATGGCAGTTTTCTAGTTTTGAATGTGTTCATGTGTTCATCAAGGCTTTTTATCTTATTTTATTTATTTATTTTTGAAACAGGAGATAAGTTGCCCAAATGATCTTAAAGTCCTCACCTCAAGCAATCCTCCTGCCTCAGCCTAATAAGTAGCTGGAATTATAAGCACATTCCATCAGATGCAGGAAGTTCATTTTAAATTGCCTAATAATTCTCATAGCTGACTTAYCCCATGGCTTTTTTCTATATCCTGACTTCTCATTTTTCCTTCTTTATCTTTTTTTCTGGCATCCTTACTTTAAAAAAAAACTGAATTCTAAATGTGTTATAAAAAAGAATTATCAAAATTCTGGCTGCTTTTCCTCCATAAGAGCATTTACTTTTGCTTTTGTCTGTCAGCCTTCAGAGGCCCCCACTGAGAGGCTGGCATTTGCAGGGTCTCTCCCTCCTCCTTGGCAGGTCCTGTCTTCACAGCTCTGTATGGGCTGCTGAAAGCGCTGCTGGCTTCCTCAGCTTCTTACCAATCGCTTTCTAATTTGTGCCTCATACAATCAACACTGTGCTGTTTTGAGCAGGCAAAAATCCTGAAGGCAAAACRTGGGTCTGAACAAAACATTTCTCTTAGTTTTCCTAGATGCTTTGCTAGTTCCAAATTCCAATATTTGCTCTCTCTAGCTACTGAAAACTGCTGAAAATTTGATACACCTTCTCTCCTTCTTAACTACTAAGTGTTTTGCTTTACTTCTCAGCCTCTTGGTGCCAATTACCAATCCACAAATGCCTTGAGGAAGAAGTGCAGAATACTGGGTATTTCTCATTGTGTTCGCCTCTCACCAGAATTTTGACCTCTCGTGTCCCAACTGCCCTGACAGCTCTCCTGCTTTTTTAAAAAAATCATCCAGCTTTTCTGGTGCCTTTGGTAAGGGAGTTGGTTGGATACAAACTCATAGCCAGAAGCAGAAGCCCTTGAATATCTTTTAAGTTTTGATTAATAAGTATGCTTCATACATACAGGACATTCATTCTTCATTTGAAGTGTGCTTTCCCTCCATTTTGTTAAAATTATTTTTTGATGTACAGAAGTATTTCATAGATTTGTTGTCAAATCTATCAATATTTTCCTTTTAAACTTTAATTGATGCTTTAAGATTGTTTTTGTTTTACCCTCTTTTGGGCACTTTTCTAATTTTTCCCTTTGTCTATTTTCATTTAAATTTAACTTGAAATATATCTAAATTTAATTTCTTTTCATGGCATGTTATGAAATTTTTAAAAAAATATTATTTAACAATCATTTGTCAAATAAAACTTTCTTTCCTCTTTACTCTTTGGAATTCCAATATTTCCATACAGTATATAAGTAAATTATTATATAGAGTCTGTTTTCTGTACTCTCATTAATCATTAATGATTAAACTTAAATTATTATATAGAGTGTTTTCTGTACTCTCATTTAATCATTAATGATTATTGAAATACTTAATGTTTAAGTTTAATCATTAAAACAGCAGATTGCGGATATCTGCAATCTGCTGTTTTAATGATTAAACTTAAATAATTCATTTTACTACCTGGTAGTTCAAGAAAATGTTCAACATTGTCAATTTAATTGTGGTTGTTCATATCAGGATGACTTTGCCTATAGTGACAGAAGCAATTTCAATCTGGACTAAAGTGGTAGAAATGAGACTTGGGGGCAAGGATGGAGGAAGTGGCATTGACTAGTGTCATTCCTGGGGCTCCAAGGATTTGGAGGCTGGAGAAAAGGTGGTGTCTCACAGGACTCAAAACTTCTGGCCTGGGACACTGAGGGAATATAGTGTCATTAACTAAAGATTGGGAATACAACAGAAGCAGATTCTGACAGGGAAGGAGGGTCACCCCTCAAAAGAACAGAGCCAGGGGTATTATAGGTAATTGCAAAAGACTGTTGGTATTATGAAATCTTATCAGCTTAAGCTAGAATGATAGAAAGTTGATTGGGGAATTTTTTTAAATTAAGTCCAGTTTGGATGAGACATAAATAAAATTTCCTTATGGCATCCATTATAATGAATGTACAAATTTTACAAAATGGTYCAGAGCAGCCCTTTCCCAATATTGTACCATGTCAAGCAAACTGTTAGGCGGTAACCAATGTGGTTGGTTGAGGAGAAAAAAGGCAGATGACAGACTGATCAAGTTTGAAGATTTGGGGGTAAAAACATTTCAAGGGAGGAAGTTGAAGCTATTGATGAAAAACCAGTTGAGGTAACCCACTATAACTTCCAGTTTTGCAAAGAAAGAAGTAAAACTGGGCAAATTATTTTAAGTGTCAAATATAATTATGAAAACCAGAAATTGTCTAGTGAGTTCTATAACAAAATCAGGCAGTATTTTTCTTCCTAGGTCTTTTCATAAAGCACATGAGAAAGTGGGAATGACCAGAATCTGCACCATCTTGGCTATGAACCCAGCAGCCTAAAGCCAAAACAGGTTGCCAGTAGGGAGTCTGAACTCCAGTTTATAAGGAGAATGTGCAGCTTCCTGGTATCTTTAAAATATGTCTCTATCAACCAGTCTTCTTTTATTTACACTTAAGATTTTTTTAAAAAAATATATATCACTTTGAATTGTATACTCTGGCTTTAAAATGCTGTTTGAGTTAAATACAGAGAATAGAGAGGAGGGGAATTTTTAAAAGACTGGTTTTCATGAAGTTGCCCATGTTCRCTTTGGCTGTGAGCATTTTGAACTCTAAATTTGGACCACAACATTTGAATTGTAGAATTTAGGCCTCAGAAGAAATTATATAATTTATTTTATTTCTTCTAATTTTTTTTTCTTTACATTTAGAAAACGAGACAAGTAAGGACCAGAGAAGACAACCTGATATCTGCCTATCAATCAAAAGCAAAGCTAGGCTAGGAAACCCAGGTTTACTAACACCTGATCTAAATACTTTCCACTACAGTGTGGAGATTAGAAAATTCATTTTGTTTTACTCTATCAATTACTGTATCACTTTGCATATTGWATCTCTCCCCCACCCTCCTTTAAGATTCAGCAAAATTTTTAATGTGGAAGAATAAAGAGTGGTTTCAATACTCTCTCCAGAGTATCGGATTTCTAAAATGAGCTGACACAAAGCACTTTTGTAACCAAACTTAATATAAAAGCACTAAGAGTATGCAAATACGGCATGAAGCCAAACTTTGAAATGAACTGGAGAAATAATGAATTATTGCAGTGTCATTTTTAAGATTAGACTTGAGTTATACTGATATATTCTGATCTCTCCTAGCAGACACACCACCAACAACTCTGACCCCAAAGTCTTGGCATGACTGTAGATGCACACCTGGGCCATCAAAAGACAGAGTGAGCTACTTGCCAATTCTCATATCACCCCACCCCCCATCCTGTTCTACTGTGGCAGAAGGAAATGAAGCCACAAGGAGAACAAAAAGAGCTGTAAAACATTTGTCTCCTGCTTCCTCATACCCTTATTATCCTCCCCACACAGAGCTGTTCCACCGGATTTGGCTCCAGTGTGGCATTCTGCCTGCCTGACCCCGGACGAATTATGAGCAAGGACAGCAACTACAGTGGAGTACCTCCCCACAGAGATGCTTCACCCTGGTTGGTTCCAGTGTGACATCCTGCCTGCCTAAGGGAGGAATTATGAACGAGGACCTGAGCTGTAGACAAGTAACACGCAGAAGCCACAAGTTTTTGTAAGAACCAGGTCTACACACAACCCAAGCCAGAGCAATGGCATTATCATTGGAAGAATTTGTTCACTCTCTTGACCTGAGGACCCTCCCCAGGGTCCTTGAAATCCAGTCAGGCATCTATTTTGAAGGTAAGCATTCTCTAGTTCCTTTACTAGCTAAAAAGTGCTTCTARAGTGTATATACTCGGGGATTGGTGGGGGAAATTTTTATAAAGAATATATGTGTTCTGTAAAGGAAAGGTTTCATCAATGCTTCCCTTATTCTTTCACTAACGGCCTGACTCCTAATTTCTTAAATAATGACAATTTTTATTTGAAGGTATAAAAATTGATGTTCATTGCTGGGTCCAGTGGTGTATACCTATTTTCCCAGCTACTTAGAAACTGAGGCAGAAGAATTGTGAATTTGAGGTCAATAAAAATAAAACAAGAAAATGATGCTTATTCATCACAATTTTTTTWAAAAAATATGTTGAAAAGTCATAGTTCAATTAAAATCATCAAATTTTGGTATAACTGATTAAAGTATATTAATTCAGATAAGAGGATAATTAAAAATTCTCATATATAACCTGGAATCTTTTAATGTTTAGTTTGAACATATRCAAGATCTAAGAACCACTTTTCCAGGAAAATATGTAATTTTCCTCACAGAAGGGTAGAATTGGGGCTGAGGTTATAGTTTAGTGATAGAGCACATGTCTGGTGTGCAAGAGGCCCTAGGTCCCATCCCTAGCACCCCAAAATTAAATGAAAGGAGGGATGGGGTTGTAGCTGAACTGGGGTTGTAGCTCAGTTGTGGAGCACTTGCCTAGCATGTTTGAGGCACTGGGTTCAATCCTTAGCACCACATAAAAATAAATTTAAAGAAAGGTATTGTGTTCATTTACAACTAAAAAAAAATTAAATAAAATACATGAAAGGAGAGAGAGAGAGAGAGACTTTGAAAAAAAAGATGATAGAATTGAAGCAACAGTAGAGTCAGATTCCAGTCAAAATACTGGGAAAATTATTTAAAAAACTGTTGGTAGGTAAGTCTTTTCCATTCATAGGCAGTCTCTGACTCATGATGGATAGAAAACAATTTTTCAACTTTATGTTGATATAAAAAGCATACTCACAGATCATTTTGTTTTTCATTTTCAGTATAGTATTCAATCAATTGCAAGAAATATTAAGTGCTTTATTACAAATAGGCTTTCTGTTAGATGATTTTGCACAACTCTTTAGGCTAATGTAAATGTTATGAGCATGTTTAAGGTAGGCTAGGMTAAGCTATAAAGCTCAGTAGGTGAGGAATATTAAACACATTTTAAACTTATATTTTCAAATTACAATGGATTTTTCAGGAGGTAAACCCAAGGAGTCAAGGAGTATCTGCTAGGTGTTATGAAATAGAGATTGACACATGTCAGCTCCAACTTGTATGTACACAGACACACACACGCGCGCACACACACACACACACACACACACGCACATACTCCACACCCTTGTAAAATAATTCATTGGAACAGCGTATTATATAGTTTTATTTAATTCATTGGTACATTGATTATTTGGAATCAGACAATCTTTTTTCAAGTGTGCCATACTTGGACTTCAGTTTCTAAGCCAGCCCCAAATTGTCTCATAGTTTATGTTTTTAAGGCTTTAAGATGTTCTTCATGTCTAGGAAAGATTTSTTCTTTAATATTTTATACGAACTTTACAGTTTTATGTTTTATATTTGATTTTTAGTCCACTTTGAGAACATTTTGCCAGGAGGTGTAGAGAGATACAATTTCAGTTTTCTCTATACAATAATGTCTCGAGCTGGCCATCTTTTCCCCATTGATTTTCATTGCCACCTTTACATCATACTATGTGCTCACATATGAATCCATCTGTTTCTGACATGTTTTCTATTCCTTTAGTTTACCTYTTTCTTAATTGAATCAATGATCACACTATTTTTGTAATAATGGTTCTGAAATGTGTTAATATGTAGTCAGTGTTTATTCAGACCATGCCCTTGTTTTCATTCCATTTTTCTAAGTTCATTTAGGTATACTTTTTGAATACACTTTTTAAATCAATTGATTCCATTAGAAATCCAACTGGGATTTTTATTGAGTGTACTTATTTAATATATTAACTTGGGAAGAAATTACATTTTTATGTTGTTTTACAAATGAAAGATATTTAGACCTTCTTCATACTTTATTATTTTACTACTATGTTGTAATTCAATCAAGATGAATTTTCACAAAATAAGCACATTCATATAACCATTATCGTAGTCTAGAAATAGAAAACWACAATTATTATGCCTTCCCCTTTTCAGTTGTCTTCCCCCAAATTAACCACTATGATGATGTTTGTCCATTTATGAACATTATAAGAAGGGAGAATTATGGTATGTGTTCTTTTCTAGTTGGCATACATGTTTAACGTTATGTTGTAAAAACTAACCTAAATTGTTTTATATAGTTTATTCATTTTTAGTGCATATTATATGTTTTGGATATATAAACCACAATGTATTTATCATTCTATTGCTAATGGGTATTTGAGTTGTTTCCAGTTTGAAGTTGTTACCAGTAAAGTTGTCATGAGCATTCTTGTTAAGTTCATGTTCACATGTATATGCATTCAGTTGGGTATAACAATAAGATAGTTTGCTATGTCATGTGGTATGTATATATTCAGACTTGGTAGGTATTTAAAAAGTCTAAGCAGTTCCAATTTGCATTCCTGTTGYCAGTCTATGAGATTTGCAATTAAACCATATGATGACAACACTTGGTATTACTGGTCTACTAAATTWTAGTCCTTCTCCTAAGAATACAGTGGTAGCTCATATCTCCCTTATGATTAATGAGATTAACACTTTTTCATGTGCTTTTTTGGTTAACTTGAACCTTCTCTTTATAACATTCATATCTATTGCTCATTTCTATTARATTTTATAAATATTTATTGCTCATTTTATGAAATATATATAAAACTGAGTCTTTGTCAATTGTCTGTGTGGCAAATATCCCCTCTCATTGTGTAGCTTAATATTTCATTTTCTTAACAGTATCTTTTAATGGATGTATGTTTTTAATTTTAGAGTTACTGTGGTCAATTTATAACTGTTTTCCTTTTCATGTGTTGTCAAGGAAATATGTTTTCTGTATCCTAAGTTTATTAAAATATTCTGTTATCTTCAAGAAATTATATTTATCCTTACTTTCAGATAATAAAATTTTAGGTAAGAAATTGAGTTTTATATATGGCTTAAAGATGAAGCCAAGATTTATTTTTTTTTTCTTTTATACAGCCAATTAGTACAGTGACATTGAAAAACTGTTTCTTCTGATGCATTACTATGTTTGTACTTTCTATGTACATGCCTGAGTCTCTTTCRAGAACTTCTATGCTGTTCCATTCATTTAATTGCTATCTTCATACCAGTTTCATCCTGTCTAAATTTATGTAGATTTGCAACAATATAAAATTTAGTTTTTTTATATAAAATAACACATTGCTCTTGTTCTCAAATTTTATTGCATATTTGAAACACCTGAGATGTTTTAAAATGTTGATGACTGGGTTTCTCCTTAAAATCTAAAAATTTAACTATGAAAGAGGTAAGGTGTCACCATCAGGTTTCTAAAAATGTCCCTGATAATACAGCCAAATTTGAGAACTACTACTGTAGAATAAGCTCTACAACTTATTATTCTCTTTCAAGTCTGGCTCTTTGAATTTTCATATACATTTTAGCATTGACTTATCAACTTCCACAAAAGTCCTCCCAGAATTCTGATTAGCAGTGCATTGATTTGAAGAAAATTAACATCATTTTAAATTAAGTCTTCTGATCCATGAACTGAGTGTAGCTCCCTAGTAATGTAAGTCTCCTTTCGTACTGTCAATAATGTTCCATGATATATTTATGGAGAACTTGCAATTTTTTTCAGATTTATTTTTAGTTTCTTGATTTTTTTTGTGGCATTGTAAGTGATATCTTTCTACATTTGCATTTCTCTTTGTTGCATTGGTTGAATTTTRAGAGCATATCTTTAGATTATTATCTTTGATTTTTTTAAAAAAGCACATTCATGTTTTCTATGAATATGGATGGGTTTTCTTTCTCTTTCCAATGATTGTGCTTTTTCCCCTTGAACTGAAACACTGGTTACTGCTTTCAATACAATAGCAAATAGGATTAGGGATAAAGAACTTCCCTGTCTCAGTCACAACCACAGATAGCATCAGCAATTTAGTACCAAGTATGCTCATTTTACATTWAAGAAGTTTCTGTTTTTGAAAAGACTTTCCAAAATAAAAATCATGAATATATTTACCAAATATTCTCTGTRTCTTTTATAATAGTCATATAATTTCATGCTTATATGTTGATTTTTACTTTCTGTAATGGGGCCTGAACCCAGGAACTTGCACATGCTAGGTGAATGCTCTATCCAGCCCTATGGTTTGCTATTTTTTTTAAAGGAATTTTGTATCTCTTTTAGGGAATGAAATTGGCTTAATTTTTTTTACTACTTATAATGTCCTACTCAGGCTCTCATATTAAATCAAGTTATGTTGAATACGTGAAATTAATTGGGTAGAGTCTTTTTCTATTCCTTCAAAGATATTATAAAAGTTTGGGATTATTTTTATTTAAATATTAAGTGGAATTTCCTATGAAATCATTTTAAGCAGGGATTTCTAACATAGAAATCTTTTAAATTATAAATTTCATGATTTTTAAGAGTACTTTTTTCCATCCAGGGTCATAGTTTTGTTTTGTTTTGTTTTTCCATTTAAAAAACAAAGCAAAAAATCCAGAACACTTWTGACAGTTAAGAAAATGTCTCCATAGAGATCTTTTTGTTTTTTATTTTTTCCTTTTAATTTATGTTTTTTATTGGTGCATTGTGATTAGAAGTAATAATGGGATTCATTATGACATATTTGTATAGACACATAACATAATTTGGTCAGTCTCATTCCCCAGGCCCCTCCCTTTCCTTCCCTTCTTCCCTCTCCCTAGTCTCCTTCCTCTACTGGTCTCTCTTCTAATTTCATKAAATCCCCCCCTTTTTTTCTATAGAGATCTTACGTGTCTTAGGCTAGTGCCAAGAATGCACACA